GGCGGGCCACAGCCCCGTCAAATATACGGGGAGCCGGGGAGCGATAGCTGGGGCAAGTCGCTGTCAGACAGCCCCGTCCTGTTAAACAAAAATGCTGTATAAACAGGAAGGGTGGAAAAGGATATTGCCAGAGAAAGAGCAGCCTCTCCCTCTTGCTCTCCTGCCGGGAGGAATGCAATAGGAAATTCCTGCTCCAGGATTAACAATCGTAAGGAAAACTCTAGTTAAAAAAACATGTGTGTGAAGCACTGGTGAAAAGTAAAGATATCATTCCAGCTACTGCTCTAGTACATAAACACAGACTAGATTTCCCCGCTTAGGAACAAAACAAAAGCCAAATATGGGGATGTAAACCGAAGAGTTTGCCTGAGGAATGACTCCAGGACACCAGGCCAGTTCTTGATAGTGATCTGAGAAATCGCAACAGGATGGATTCCAACCATCTATTTTTAGATCTTTCTGACAGGGGTGTAAAGCGGAGACAGAGGGCTGCAGCTGGAGACCAGCAGAGAGAAGCCGAGCTGCCCCGTGTCGGCACGTTGGGCACCTCGAGTCCACTGTGCAACAGGGCTGGGAGCGTGACCCAGCACCTGGCGGCTGTGGCGGCCGCTCTCCCGGCGCTGGCGTGGGGCTGCGCGGTGACGGCAAGGCTACAGCCACGCGTTGCGCCCACCAGCACCCAAACCTCGCCTGCGAACCGGCGCAGAGCAGGGCCCCCCGGCCCTGCCGTAAATCCTGGGGTGGTTTTCAGGGGAGCTCTGGCGGTGCGCTCAGCAGCTGGCGGTGCTCAGCCGGGGTGCAGGGCAGGCCTGTCGTGGCATGGCTCCTGCTGCGCTGCCCGCTTGGCTGGGGGTATCTCAGCTATCTTACTTCACACCAGCAGCAGCAAAGGGTGTGCGCCACGAAGGTCCGAATCCTGAATTTTGTCCCAATGTCCACCAAAAAGCAAATGTCACTGCAAATTGTCACTCTCCGATGAAGACAGACTGAGAGAGAGCTGGGGCTGTTCAGCATGGAGAAGTCACCAGGGACACCTTACCGCAGCCTTCCGGCGCCCGAAGGGGCCTGCCAGAGAGCTGGAGAGGGGCTGCGTCAACAGGGGTGTGGTGCTGGGACAAGGGGGAATGGCGTTAAACCGAAAGAGGGTGGGTTTAGGTCAGATCTAAGGAAGAAATCCCTCACTCTGGGGGTGGTGAGGCCCTGGCACAGGCTGCCCAGAGGAGCTGTGGCTG